GGCAGGGGCAGGGGCAGGGGCAGGGGCAGGGGCAGGGGCAGGGGCAGTGGGCTCAGCACAGATATGAGCAGATGATATGGGAAATGAGAAGGGGCACAAAGAACTCACAATGTACTAGCATGATGGTTGATTGGAGGAAGAGACATTGCTTGAGTTGTAAATCAAAGCCGTCACTCATTTTAGTTGGTACAGGAATCTATCACCAGTTCCTGGAGCTGGTGGCCTTTCCTGAATGCTAGTGGTTGAACATGAGAGGCAAACACTCTACCACCAAACTGCATCCTCAGCCAGGCTCCATGACTTTAAGGCCGAATGTTTTTGTTTTTATAGTTTGAGGAGCCATAGATTCTATCTCTCATGAAATAAAATAGAGACATGGTATATACCTCCTAGGGTGATTATAAAGATTAAATGAAATGATCTAGGTAATATTGCAGCACACAGTACTTAAAGGCAACTTTTAGCAAACATTTTGTAAATATTTTTATGTACTTTCAGTAATTAATTTGGGTAATGCTATGTAGTTTTTAATGTAGTTTTACCAATGAGACAACAGCTTAGAGGTGTTAAATACCTTAAGTCTTTGAAGCCAGACCCTGGCCTCAATTTGTGTCTAACCACTGAAGTTTCTCCTTTGGCTCATGAAAAAATTTTTCTAGTCACCCTGAGGGCTCATACTCTAAAACCATAATCATTTGAGCTATTTGACATTGATAAAGAAGTAAAGGAATCATGTTGATGGTGCTTGTTATATGGACTGGCTGCATCTCACACCCTTGGCATCTTGTTCAAAGAATGAAGTGCTCACAACTAGCAACGTAGTGATGGATTTTGTTTATAAGCATGGTGCAGGGTACCTTGCATGAGAACAGCAGGCTCTCGGCATGATTGCTCAAGAGCTCCAAGTTACTTCTCATGGTTTCCTTTTACAAGTTCAAGAAGGCAGTTTGCTAGAGGCAGGGTTTGGTGATTTCTACTCTCATAACTGTTGATTGACAGGGAGAAATCTGGGCCTTGTGTGCAGACATGGGTCTTGCATCACACAGCTTCAATCACGCTCATGTGGTCACGCATAATCCCCTAAAAATTCATTCTGAGAACACAGTTTGCCTGACTGTGTCTACAACCAAAATAAGTTTGGTTCATTTTTAGTTCCAGGATGCATTGCTAGGGTAGAGAGACCAACTGCTTTGTGGGGAAAGGTATGTGTTCAGCTCCAGTCATGATGGGGCTAGCCTGTCCTTGTAAACTGCCTGCCTTAGTAGTTTAGTCAAACCTTTCAGTACTATATCAACCTTTAATGGGGGTATGATACATATTCTTTGTTTATTTCTGACAAAGCACGCTTTAACCAGCAGGAAAGTGTATACAAGTTTCTCTTTTGCTTTAGTTTTGAATCTTAAAATTGATGGAGAGTCTTATATCTCCTTTTAGGCGGGCCACCCGAGCTGTGACCCCAGAAGCAGTTGCCTGTCAGTTGAGCAACTGGTCAGAATGGACAGATTGTTTTCCATGTCAGGACAAAAAGGTAAGTCACCTAGGAGCATCTCAGGGCATTGCCCATCTGATTTGTGCATTAGGCATACATAGGAAATAAGCAGTGGGGACTATAACTCTAGGGCTCTGGGGAGAAACTAGGTCTGAATATAGGTGTTTGGAAACCTCAGGTACCTGGGTGGCAGTGAGGCTTGTCTGCCTCTCTTGTTTTTGTTTATAAGACATCATGAGATACGGCTAATGAAAGTGTCTGCATTGTGACACAGGAAAATAGCCACCATGACACAGATACACTGAAGCTGCATGGAGTTTTCTAGGCAACATTAGTCCTCTGATGAGAATCATCTGGAAGAACTGCTAGATGGCTTACAGATAAAGAGCCAAGATGACTCTTGATATGTATTAGTCTCCCAAGTCAATAATAATACATTTCTACAAATATGATAACTTTACATAACAGACATTTGTCCTCTGGGTCCTGGAGGCCAGAGAAAGGCAATGGAGGTGTGAGTACTGTCAGTCTCCTTCTCGAGATTCCAGGGGAATGTGTGCTTTGCCTCATCTACTGATGCTGGCTGCCAACAGTCCTTGGCCTATGACTGCATCTCTGCCCTCTGTCTCAGACACATTGCTTCCTTTTCTATGTATCTTCTCTCCTCTGTGTCTGCCTGAGATCTCCCTGTATAGCATTCCTTTTAAAAAGCATGACAACATTCTGGGCTACTGAGAAAACTCAGAGTAATCACAAAACCTTTAATATTTTCAGCAGAATGTTTTACAAATAGGGGGAAATTAAAATCTTTTACAGAAGGAGTTATACCCTTTGGTGGCTGTTACTTAACCTACTAAGCCTTCCTTTTTCTCATTTGTTTTTGTTTAGGTAGCAGATTGCACAGGGGATCCTCTTACAGTTTATATAAAAATTGAATTGCTTCCTTAAATACTTAGAAAGATATATGTGTCTATAAAGTAATCCTTAAGAAATTAGATCCTGTTAATTATTTAACTAAAAGACCATTTTTGTTTCATTTATTAATATGGCTCACCCTCTCAAATGTCCTCAAATAAAGATGAGAATTTCTGGAAAGAAACATTAGCTATTACACAGAAAAGGAAATTATGCTTTCATGACATAAACCACAGACAACAGCACAGAGAACTCCCCCAGGGAGTATTGACAGTTGCCTTCCTACAACCCACTGCCTCCATTATTTGATGGCAGCCTAGTAAACAGAGGACGGACAGAAATGAACCTAGAGGCGTACGCCATTGTTCCAAGCGCAGACACTACAGGAAGGATGGTGATGGCATTAATAGTCACCATTTATCAAGTGCTTTCCATGTCCCAGGCACTGCAGTAATGCCTGCATTACTACTGTAATGCTTTACATAAACACACTGTCTAGTTTGGCTTTCACAGACAAATGGAGGATAGGAGCCATTGTCCACTGTCAGGAGGTTGAACACTGAGAAAGGTGGGGCTGAGACTTAAATCTGGGCAAACTCTTAGATTCAAGAAGCAACTCATAAATGTTCAAATCTCTGCTTTCTGACTTATTAACATTCTTGGAGGAAGGACTTTTGCTAAGCCAAGGTCAAAGACAGATGATGCAGGGCTTAGAACTTGATTGCTAGTCAGTCCATGGATGCTTTCCATGCGCTATACTTTATATTATTACATATTTTATCTCAACTGGACTGTAAACTTCTAGAAGGCAGCCATGAGACCTCACATTTCTCTCTTTTTCTTTTGTTTTGTTTTGTTTTTTTTTTTTTTGCTTTTGTTTTTCGAGACAGGGTTTCTCTGTGTAGTCCTGGCTGTTCTGGAACTCACTCTGTAGACCAGGCTAGCCTCGAACTCTCGAACTCAGAGATCCGCCTGCCTCTGCCTCCCAAGTGCTGGGATTAAAGGCGTGCACCACCACCACCCGGCTCTCACATTTCTCTTAATGTCCTAGTTTTTGGACTGCGTCTACACCATTATCTGACCTCTATACATTTTCCACAAAGCCTTTATCATGAAACTCTAGACCCCAAAATTGGCATGGATTTAAATCCTTCCTGACCTTATATCAACAAGTCCTTATTCACCTGTAGTCAAGGCTAGAGTTGGGGATTGAACAATGTCTTCTTTTTAATCTCCATATTTCCCTACATTGTAGGTATGTAGTTACTTAATGCCCATAATTTCTAGAAATGTCACTTTCCCTGAAGCAGAATCAATAGAGATAACTATTATTGGCTCAGGTTGTCAAGAACGATCCCTGAAGCAGTTATTGCAAATGGGCAGCTCTATCCATCTTCCTCTGTGACTGGAGGGAAGAAGGAGACTCTCCCTATCTGGATCAAGTAAAGAGGAGATGCCGTGGCCAGAAAAAAAAAAATCTGCAAAGGCAAAACAGCAATGGCCTCTAAAAGTGTACCCAAATGTGATGTCACCTAAGGCTGTCCTTTCTTCATTTCTTATCACTGCTTCATCTCAATCTGTGAATTCCTCACAGAGATGGTAGGCAAGGTAGGCAAATAGGCAGGTGCTAAGTCATTGTCTTATTTGACAAGTGCTAAGGAAGACAGAGGAACTAAAGAGTACATGATCAAGTCAGGGAAGGCTGTCCAGAGGAGGGAAGCCATGAACATGGAAAGATAAACACTTGTAACTGGTTGAATATGGGAAACTATATAAGATGTAAGAGGACCTTTAGAATGTGCACATCCCAGCCTTTCATTTGATACTTTGCATCCCTATTCAGAATTCCAGCTGACGATTGTGCCACCTTTGTCTGAACACCACGGTACATGCTCATGTGTCCCCTTATAAGACAGCTCTGAAGGCAGCTTTCAATCATCAAACAGTTATTCCTTATGTTGAGCTGAGACCTGCCTACATGGATCTTGGTTGATTGATTGACAAGACTCTGTCTGGTTCACAATCTGATTTTAGTATCGACACCGGAGTCTCTTGCAGCCAAGCAAGTTCGGAGGAACCATCTGCAGTGGTGATATCTGGGATGAGGCCAGCTGTTACAGCCCCACACCTTGTCTAAGGCAAGCACAGTGTGGACAGGATTTCCAGTGTAGAGAGACAGGTGAGTAGCATGCCAATACAACAACAGCTGCACTAGTCAAACATACTATGCAAAGTAAGTACTTGGGTGTTGGTTACAGTGTCTACTCCTAACTACTAGAGGTTCAAGAAAGAGCCCAGCAATCTGCATTTTAAATCAAGCTAGCAACCCATGTAATTTTAAAAGTATATTTTTTAAAAGTTATGTGTATGTATGTGTAGGAGGGTGGCACATGTATGTATTAGTCCATATAGGCCAGAAAAGGGCATCAGATCCTCTGGAGTTGGAGTTACAGTCTCTCCGATATAAGTCACCACCTGATATGGGTACTCAGAACTGAATTCAGGCCCTATGCAAGAGCAACACACATATTTTTAACTGCTGAGCTAGCCCTTATAGTTTTGATTCATTTATATATTTTTGATTAATTTAGGAAAAGTACAACTCATAGCAATTAATAGATTACATTTATTAAACAAATACTTACTGGTACATATTATGCTCCAGGCAGTGTACCATCTGCATTTAACATGCAAATTAAAAACAATGTACATAACCTTGAGGTATTCTTAATTTGTCTGGAAGAGAGACATACAAGAGGTCAATTATAGTATCATGGGATATCCATTGAGTTGTGTGCAATTCTCTAGCAGGGAGTACTCAAATATGTTTTTTGAATTCAGGAAAGTCCTTAAAATGGCATTTGAGTTGAGATTTGGAAAATGCATGTGCAAAAATGAGAATTCAGGGACTTATAATCTTCCCAGAATCTTTGTAGCATGAAGGCTTTAGAAACAGATAGGTTGGGTGATGAGCCCCCAAGATAACATGGAATTAGGTGGGCTACAGGGTTCAGATTGTGACATTTGGAAGGACAGGAACCCTTGGCAGATATAGAGGAAGAGTGTGGCATGGGCAGACCGACATATCAGAAGATGACTGGTGGATTTGATGTGGATGCTGGATTTGAGCAAGAGAGATGGGTGAGGATGAGCTAAGGGATACAGCACACGACTAGAGAACTCAAGAGGATGGAAGAGGCAGTGTAATCAGAGAGAACAGGACATATAGGAGGACAAAAGTAGGCCAGCCCCATGACTAGCCAACTGTGTTGAGGAATACAGTCTAGGAAGCTTTCTCAGCCTTGTATCGCTCAGGTCGCTGCCTGAAACGCCACCTGGTATGTAATGGAGATAAGGACTGCCTCGATGGCTCTGATGAGGATGACTGTGATGATGCCAGAGTCACTGAGGATGATTGCCAACAGTATGAACCAATCCCAGGATCAGAAAGGGCAGCCTTGGGGTAAGTTACCACTTTGTGGATGTTCAAGAGTGACAAATAGTTCCTCTCTCATTACGGACATGAGGCAGAATAGATCTGTTCTGGAAGGTCCCTTTAAAGGATTCCTGGAAGTAGCTCTTGTCTCTTGTGGGAGCTTGAATGGTCCTGGTAATGTGACATCACCCACACTATCTTTTTCTGCCTGAGGGTCCTCCTTCCCTGTATACTGTTCCTCTTCTCTCAGCCCAATTTCATTTTCAAGGCTGTTGTCTTCCACAAAGTCTTCCTAGATATCCCCTAGGAAAGCTTTCCCCAGATGCATCTGACCTTTCCAACAGCCCTGCTCATGTTGCACTCTGGACAAGCTAACCGTAAAGAAAATGGCCTTCAGGGTGAGACAGAACCTTGACCCTCCACCTTGTTGTTCGATTCACTTCTCAGACCACAATTCTTCTGTTGAGCTGAAATTAGCCTCCATTCTAATTTATCTTTACCATATATTTTATATTCAGGATCAATTGCCCATATGCCTCACACTCAATATTCCTGAGCATTAATCAATTTTGTATGTTCTTTCTAGAATGTCTTCATTCATATCCAAACATGGTTGACTTCTTGTCTAGTGTTGTGAACTGAACTGTGGTCCTCAACAACTAAGTCAGAACCCTAAGCACCTAAAGTGATTACATTTGCATATAGGGATTTGAGGAAGTAATTCAGGTTGAATTATCCATAAGAACTGGCATCCACAGAAAAGGAAAAAGAGATACTGTACTCTATGTTCACAACTTTACAGATAAGAATCTACATAAGGACATGAAAAGTGCATCTGTCTACATGCACAAAAACTCTCACTGAAAATCACCTCAAGAAAAAAAAAACTTGATTTTGTCTCTAAAACTAAAGAAAAAAAATTGATTTCTGATGTTTAAGGCACCAATCTGATATTTTTAGAGCACCCCAAATATACCATTAATAGGATTGCAGAGCATGGTTTCTGGGAAATCTAGGCAGTGTCTCTCATCTTCTCTTGGCTATGCCTGGACAACCATAGCTCCTCCTACAGTTACAGAGATCCTCTGTTGCTATCCCAAACATACAACTGTTTTAGGGTTTTATTGCTTTGAAGAGACACCCTCACCAGAGCAACTCTTATAAAGGAAGTGAGGGGCTGGCTTATAGTTTCAGAGGTTTAGTCCATTATCATCATGACAGAAAGCATGGCAGTATGGAAGCAGACACAGTGCTGGAGAGGTAGCTGAGAGTTCTACATCTGGATCTGCAGGCAGCAGAAAGAGACAGTAAGCTACTAGACCTGCCTTGAGCTTCTGAAACCTCAAAGATCACCTTCAGTGACATACTTCCTTCAACAAGGTCACACTTACTCCAAGACCACACCTATAATAATGCTACTTCCTATGAGTCTATGGTGGCCATTTTCATATGGACCATAACAACAACCATCAGGGATGGAGACAACTATTGTGGCCATCTGTGGAGGTCCAGAACTCTTAGTCATTTCAGTCTTCCCATGTCCCAGTCCAAGGGCTAGCTCATGGCAATAGTTTGGTGTTGCTAGATTCCTGCTACTCTGTCTTTGCCTTTGGCCTTGTCCTCTAACTGGGATATCAGCTCCTTGAAGACAGACTGCTTAGGACTCTCTCCATATCCTCTGCTTTTTGTCAGAGTATGCCCTGTACTCACTTCTCACTGACTCCAGGCTGCCTTGAACCACATAAGTACAAGCAGCTACCTCTTTGCAAAGATGATTTGGTGAGGTAGTAATTGTCGTAAATGACCAGGTCAGGTGACAGCCCACCCTGGGACATTGTGAACTCTCTGTCAGGAAGCTCTCATTCACAAGGCTTCATTGCTCTTGAGATCACATCCCATTCACCAGATGGGTTTGGATCCTGTACACTCCTGTAGACTCATATGTGCAATGCCAAGCACAATGCTTTTCTTCAAACCAAATGTTTCTTTTCATTAGGATAGCCATAGCAAAATACCCTACCTTGGTGGGTAAAACAACAAATGTACTTGGATACAGCTCTGGAAACTAGAAGTCTGAATATACAAGTCAGCAGGGCTGGTTTCTTCTGAGGGCATTCTCCTGGACTCACAGGTGGCTATCATCTCCCTGGGTTTTTCAGTCTCATGAGTGTCTCTCTCCTAACTTTAACTTTATTCCCTGGGATAAGGCCTTACTGTAGTGTCTTTAAGTCAATTACTTCTTTAAAGGATCTGTCTTCAGTTGAAGTCACATTTTGTGATTCTGAGACTCAGAACATCCACCTATGAGAATTTAGAGACAAATTTAGGCCTCAACACAATCAAAGGGAATTCTTGTTGATTTAGAAAGTGGCTGTGGTGAACAGAGTTGAAGTAGGGAATGTAGCTGTAAAAAAAAAAATCTCCTCTAATTGACAAAAAACTTTGCAGACTACAATGCTGCTCTCGTGTGATTGGATCAGGAGCAGTTCTGATACACTTTTTGAATAGTGTGTTTCTCTCACACTGAATACAGAAACCAGTGAAATGGCCCTATCTTCAACAGACAGTTGACATTTGGATATAATTCTGTACTTTTCTTAGGGATTTTTTTTGATATTTATTCTAATTTAAGAATTTCCTAGTTTCAATTTTTATTTATTGTTAAATACAGTACATACACACACACTATATGTATATGTATATGTATATGTATATGTATATGTATATGTATATGTATATGTATATGTATATGTATATACACACATACACACACACATATATCTGAGGCAAAAACTGTGACTTCATGTGTTCTACCTTCATCCTAGAACCTCATCCTGTGGCTCTTTGTCCCTTCCCTCCCTAGAGATGCCTTTGGTAAGATACAGTGCAGGCATTTCCAGATAATCTTTAAAAATGGATAAATGGATACCACATACTGTCTAGGAAACAAACCTCTATAATTGTGCCTTAATAGGTGCAGGTAGTAGTTATGGAAATTTGATTGTGACATGCATACTGTTAAAACTTTTTTGTTTTTAGTTGAATGTTTTTCATACAACACATTTTGATTATGCTTCTATCTCCTCTGCCAACTCTTCTGAGATCCCCCAACTTCTCACCCATCCAACTTTATGTTCTGCCTTTTTCAAAAACAAGAAAAATAATGGGTTTTGTTAAGCACTTTTAACACTACATGACATTTGAAGACTTTTTTCTTCAAGCACATATTATGCATCTCATTTTTAAAAAGAAATGGAGTACTGCAACAAGGGTTAACGATAGTGTGAAGGCAAATAGCCTGTTGTCTTTATAAATAAAGGTTTTTTAAAATAATTTATTTATTTTTTCAAATCGTAATTCATTCACACAGGGGTTATAAACACAGAAAGGCAGGACCTGAGGAAGGGGATGACACTGGAGTGTGGGTGTTCAGGGGGAATACAGATATCTTTCAGAACAGGGTATTGGCTGGGTGAAGGTTCAGGGGACAGATCACTATGACTCTGCCTATGATTCGCTTGTCCTTATCTAAGTTGGTATTGTCTACCAAGGCTACCTATTTACAAGGTCTATGACTACTCAGGCTAGTAAATTTCTACGAAAGCTGCCTATTTTACAATAGCTTATAGCCATCTGTTTCAATGTTTTTCCACAGAGACCCAAGACTTGGTGTTAGTATACATGTATGACAGGCCTATTGCTGATTTTAGGCCTATGGCTGATTTTAGGCCTTCAGTGTGTGAGCAGGGCTGCCCCTGACATCTCCTCCCTTCTCTAAGTATAGAAGGGCTGTGGTGATTCTAATCTTTCGAAGGTGGGGAAGGAGGCCTGACTGCCAGTAATTGAAGGGGACCTTGTAATGGCTCTGGTCCCCCTGTTGTTGTCCAGTGAGGCATGAGGGCTATACTCATCCTGATGTCTTTTTCCTGGAGAGGGGATACTTTTGACATCAACCCCTATGCAGTCAGGCTTGTCCCTCAGGGAACCCAGAGAGATATTTTTAACTTTTATTTATATTCCCTTGCAGTGCTTAGCCTCACAGCCTAAGCAAGAATTCAGATCGCCAGTCAGAGGAGGTTCTGGGTGACCCCTCTCTGCTTGGTCTAGGGGCGGAAGTTCCCTCTTTTAGGTTGGGTGGAGATGGGTTTTGGGAACACCCTGTATAAAGTAATAACCTCATCTTGAGTCTCATGGTCCTCCATAGCTAACTTATGATAATATATCTGAATAGGTTTTGCTATCAAATTATTTATCTGTATAAATAAAGTTTTATTAGAACATAGTGTTCACTTTAAAATGGCAGAGATAAGTAATAGCAGTTAAGGCCCATATCCTGCAAAACCCAATGTATCTACTACCTTAAAAAATATGTTTTCTGACTTTTTTAATGTAATCATAGAATATTCAATTTAACTATCCTTCACTGAAATATGGTCAGATATTTTCCCAGTGTGTTAGCTACCTTTTCTCATACCTGCAATCAAATTATCTTCAAGAAGTATCTTAGTGGAGGAGCCACTAATTTTGGCTCATGGTTTATGGTACAATCCATCATGAGGGGGTGGAGTCATGGCAATGGGAGTGTCTTACAGACGTGATGGTAACACCATGAGGCTGCTTTCTCATCTCTTGATGGATTAGGAAACAAGAAGATGGACCACATACCTCCAAGTCTGCATCTCATGACTTACTTCCCTGGCCACACCCCCACATAAAAAGTTTCACAACCTCTCAAAAAGGTTCCTTCATCTGAGTACTAATCATTCAAACACAAGTCTATGGAGAACATTTCCCATTCAAGCCATAACTCCCATTTTCCCCTCTTACAAACAGTGCTGCAGTGACTATTCTTGTCCTCATGGTCTTTGTGCAAATGAGTAGATTTCTAAGAGGGTAGAATTCTTACTATGTTTTCATTTCCACTGGAGCCTTTCCAAATGTAGTAGGCTTAATGTTTACATACAATTTTTTTTAGGTCCACTGTTGCTCTAAGTTTTTATTTGGTGTGTATCAGAGGCTGCATTTTTAAACTACAGACAGAAAGATGCTCAGTGGATAGGCAGTTCGAAACTGCAGGAGGGAGATAAAGGCGCAGAACCTAGAATTTCGTGCCAAAAACAACTTGGGGGAGAAATATATTGTGACTATAGATAGGCAAATTATTTCTCCCTTCCTTCCTTCCTTCCTTCCTTCCTTCCTTCCTTCCTTCCTTCCTTCCTTCTCTCCCTCCCTCCCTCCCTTCCTTCTTCCTTTCCTTCTTTTGCTTCAATTTCTGCATTTGCCAAATTGTCATGTAATCTAAAGCTAATGTGTGTTAAACATCTAGCTTAGTATGTATTTAATTTATCATAGCTATTATTACATGACTTTTATTAATAAGAAGAAAGAGATGTAGAAAGGAAGTGGAGACGGTCACTCACATACATTGAATTGATAAGGCATGTCAGGAGCTATGTAATTATCCACTTATTATTTGAGGTAGATTGTAGCCACAGTTTTTCTTTTGTTCCTCTTTTGCCTTTGTGCCTGTCACTGAGTGTATGAACAGTCACATGCCGAAGGTAAGTATCGACTGCCAGGAACACAGGGGATGGGGGGAAGCGCTGACTAGAGCAACTCAAAAGACAACTTTTGAGTTGAGTCTCAAAGGCTACTTAAGAATTTGGGAGACAGAAAGAAGCAATAGTTTTATTATTTTATTACACAAGAGGCTTCTATGTCCAGCCTTAGAACTCTTAATCATTCCTGATGTCTACACTCTGGTGACAAAGTTACAGTTAGTTAGAGTAAGTGGTAGAGCTGGAAATTACCCAGGGGTCTCCCTGATAGTCACACTGTGCACATTTGTCATTCTGGGCTGCCTCAAAGACAGTGAATTTTCTGAGGATTAGAGCCTTACACACATATGCTTATACAAATTCCCTTTTAAGTAGCAGAACCTTTTTCTGAAATAATACTAAAATTAGCAGCAAAGGGTATCTATCATGGTTAATTTTCTATGGCTGTGATTAAAGCAGCATGACCAAGGCAGCTTATAAAACCAAGTGTTTCATTTGGGCTCATGCTTCCTGAGGGTTAGAGTCATGACCTCTCATGGCAGGAAGCATAGCAACAGGCAGGCAGGCATGGTGCTGGAGTGGTAGCTGAAAACTTACAGTTGATCCACAAGAAGGAGAGAGAACTAGGTTGGAATGGTGTGGGCTTTGGAGCCCTCAAATCCCATCCCCAGTGACACACCTCCTCCAACGAGACCACACCTCCTAATAGTTCCTCAAACAGTTCAACAAGGCAGGAACCAAGCATTGTATATCTGAGCCTATGGGACCATTCTCAATCAAACCATGACAGTATCTATTCAGTATAATATATGTCAAGTCTGTGTATACTACTATTACATGGATTACACATAGCTAACTCTAGGGGGATAATACTGTTACTGCTTTTACCAAATGACTCAAGTGGGGCAGAGAGACGAGATGATTTGCCTGTGCTTACACAGCTGTCTGTGGCACTAATTTAACCAGCTTCTGTGCTTGGATTCTTAATAATCCATGCACATTTTCCCCTAACTTAACAGCTAATCAGAACTGCCTCCTAACGACAGTGGCCCCAATGCTCTGACTATTGGCTACCTGGCCCAGGCCCAGTTCACCCAGTCTCTCAGTATTGCCTACTTGAAGGATTCCCCAGGACTTCACCAAACACACTTGGTAAAAACCACCTCTCAACCTACCAACTACAATATGTTCTGGAGCTGTGTGGTTCTCGACCTGTAGGCCCTGACTGCAGCAGGGGTTGCATATGGGATATCCTGCATATCAGCTATTTTCATGATGATTTATAGCCGTAGAAAAATTACAGTTATGAAGTAGCAAAGAAATAATTGTATGGTTGAGGGTCACCACAACAAGAGGAATGGTATTAAAGGATCACAGCGTCAGGGGGGTCGGCAACCAAAGGATCTAGAGGATGGCATGTTGCATTTTCTTTGCCTTTACAAAGATTTTTCCAAGATGCTGCTTTTCCAACTTAGGTACAATATCCTGACTCAACAAGAAGCCCAGAGTGTGTATGATGCTAAGTATTATGGGGGCCAGTGTGAAACTGTGTACAATGGAGACTGGAGAAGGCTGCAGTATGACCCCACCTGTGAGCGGCTTTACTATGGGGACGATGACAAATACTTTCGGAAGCCCTACAACTTCCTTAAGTACCACTTTGAAGTAAGTCTGATGGAGGCGGTATAGGGTGGGATGGAGGAAGGAACCTGCCAGGGGAGATAGCTTGCTCTGAAGGCTTTTATTTTCCATGGGCTTCAGGTGACTGAAGACTCTTTCCTGCATGCTGTACATGTATGCTCGGTGTTGAGGGTCATAAGATGTGAGTGTAGGAGAGCCATAGTATGAACATATCAACCCACCTGCTCAGTCTTGGCTCTGTCTCCAAACCAGTGAAACAGATCATTCCACAATGTGCTCTGTTAGATTCTAACTACAAACATTTGTGAACAACTAACCTGTCATTTCTCCCTGGGCCACTCTCCTAATCTGTGAGGTGGGGGTAGGACACAGATGGGTAGAGTTGTGACATATATCCCCTCTGTGTGCTTCACCAAGAATGGTTTATACCTGTCATTTTCAATTTTTTAAATATGATTTTGCTTTCTATGAAGTGTTCTTGCAGCTGGGCAGTGGTGACACACACGTTTAATCCTAGCACTTGGCAGAGGCAGAGGCAGAGGCAGAGGCAGAGGCAGAGGCAGAGGCAG